TTTTTTTTTTTTTTGGCTCCTCCCGAGATCATATTCTTGCATCTTGCTGTCCTACTCCACTTAAAAAAACAGTAAAAGGGTGAAATTTGGTCTCAGGGTTGAAACGATCATTCTGCTACTGGCTCCTCCGCTGGCAATGCTGAAACACACTACTGAACCAGTTCTCGACTGGCCACTTATGTCCTGAATGTGGTTCTTCTGTGTCAGTGATTCCCTGACATCCAGTTTGGAAGGACTTGCACTTTTCTCCATTAAGAAAAATAAAATTAAATCCGTTATGCCCAGATGCGTTTGCTCTTTTATTTCCCTTGGTGACATTTGGTTTCCAGCAAAGGGCGCAATTGGTTCACAGCTAAGCAGATGGCCACCAGCCTCTGGCTAGATCATGGTCACTACCTTGACCCTGGAAAGCTTCACTGCCTGGGAGGCAGGGAGGACAGTGTTTCCCCAACTAATCCCAGAAAGAAGGTCAGTTCTCCTTCTCCACAGCAGCCAGAGGGCACCTGCGAACACATCCCTCCTCTGCTCAGAACCATTCATGGCTCCCACCTTACTTGGAGTAAATGCCAAAGTCATCGATGTGGCCCAAAAGGCCCTGCATAATGTGACTCACCATCTCTCCACTTGCCTTCCAGAACTTACTCCCCTCCAGCTACATTGCTGCTATTTGAACACACCAGGCTTCTGCCTCAGGGCCTTTGCACTGGCTGTTCCCTCTGCCTGGACTTACCCCAGGCAGATGTATTGCACCTTCTCATTGCCCCCCCGACACCATTTAGCACTGCAATCCCCTCCTCCAGCATTTTTTTTCTTTTTTTTATTTTTGAGACAGGGTCTCGCTCCATTGCTCAGTCTAGAGTGCTGTGGCATCATCATTGCTCACAGCAGCCTCACACTCCTGGGCTCAAGCGATCCTCCTGTATCAGCCTCCAGAGTAGCTGGGACTACAGGTGCATGCCACCATGCCCGGCTGATTTTTCTATTTTTTTGTATTCTATAGATGTACTCTTATTATTTTGTACAGATGGGGGTCTCACTTGTACTCAGGTGGGTCTCAAACTCCTGGCCTCAAGTGATTCCCCCTCCGCCCCCGCCTTGGCCTCCTAAAGTGCTAGGATTACAGGCATGAGCCACCTCCCCTGGTCCCCCAGCATTTCTGATCTCTCTTCCCTTGCACATTTTTCTCCATAGCCCTGAAAATCTAAACTACTGTATAATTCATTTAACCTAAGTGTCTCCCTCATTATAATATCAGCTCCTCCGTGCATGGATTTCTGCCTTTTTAAGTGCCACACCCAGCTCTGTTTCTGACTGTGGTGTAATAAAATATAAATATTTGATCTTTGTCACTGTGGTGGTTCCTGGTACTCAGCTCCTAAACCCTTGAAATCTCTGCAGAGATCAGAGTGTCTTTTGCATGCTAATGAGGTCGTTGGTGATTGGGGGCCACTGGGCAGCTTCAGGATGGGGATTGGTTGCTAGAAAGCAAGACCTAGGTGGCAGGATTGGAGGGTTGGAACATTTCGTTCCCCTCGCCTCCCCAAACCTTCCCCCTGCCATCTGCAGGGAGGGAAGCCTGGCATCTGAAGCCAGGGCGGTTTTGTGGGACTGAACCCTGAAACCCGTGGAGTCGCGCACATTCACTCCCGGTAATCGGTGTCAGAATTGAATTCAAATGTGGGACATCCAGTGGGGTGTCCACAGAGAATTGGAGAATTGCTTGATGTGGAAAACCCCCACGTGTTTGGTGTCAAAAGTGTTGTGGGTAAAAACGGTTCATTTCTGACATACAGCGGGAAACTCCATAGATGTTTGTTGAGTGAATACATGAACTGCAGAGCCCAAAAGTTGAGCTAGGTCCAGAGACTGGCGTACTGTCCCAGGACCTCAACACTGCTCTCTGTGCCTTCTGCATGAGGTGGCCCCCTCTGAACCAGACTGGTTGCCAGGGAGCTGCTGTTTCCTGGTCAACCTGTTCAAAGTCCCCGAACTAAATCTTGTGGATCATTTGGGTCCTGCTCCCATGCCTGACCCAATCACTGTGGCTGGAAAAATGGATGTGGCCAGTGTGGATCCCGTGTTCAACCCTGAACCAATCACTGTGGCCAGAGAGGTGGACTGTGTTGATTGGCCAATGTGAATCCCATGCTCAAGGCTGAACCAATCACTGTGGCCAGAGAGG